TGCACCGCTAGCATCCACCACCTCGGTTGACCTCCATCTTCCTTTCACGGTCGCAGCATCCTTTTACTTCATTTTACTGCACTTCTTCAATGTCAAGCGTTCATTTCCATCGTAGATTTGGGCAGCTGACCATTTCTTCCACCATTGCATCTTTCTGGGATTGTAGCTTTCTGAGCCTTTCGTTGGCCTTCTTCTTCAAGCTGACTTTGCCGTTCACTCGACTGGTCGTGACGTCTACTAACTTAGTTGTTGTTGCTTTCTGAATCTTTGTTACCTTCTTTGAAATTTCGATCTTTATTTTGGACCTCTCCTCCTCGTCTGTATCCTTCTTTTTAAAAATATATCAAACATCCGATTTTTCCTTTCTTTATTTGACTGGCAATTTTCCTTAGACGACTTGGATTTAACTACTATGCCCACCGTTGATGGCAATTGTTTACATAACTTAAATAAATAATTTTTAACTGTATTACTATTTATACGCTCTGCAATATATGACTGTGCTCCCAAAAGGAACATCTTAAAACACTTTATGCGAAGACCAGCGTACGTTTCTCAAACATTTGAATTGACCGACGTCAGAAATTTTGGAAATGTAAAATGAGGTAAGAAATGCAAATGATTAGAATTACAAAGCAACTGCACATGCATGGAATGAGAACCCGCATCTTGTCTCTTGTATATAAAGGACTGTAAATTTGCGTTGAAACCTGTCCTCGACCTTTCTGTCGTCCTCTGTCTGCGGTGAACGTTAGTGGTCAATATGCCTCGTCAACAGTGGAAGGTACCATACCAACAACTAACGGACTTCAAATGAAGCCGAACCGTAGGTACGCGACAGGGTGGACTTTCCTATAGATCAATCGTAGCTCGCAAGCGTCATAATGCTACAACAGTGATTTGGAAGAAATGACAGAGGAAATCCAAACAAGTTGAAATCCTGGAAGTGACGCACGAAGAGTACAATAGCACGGGACGACAGACACCTCATCCGCATGGCTTGACGGATCATACAGCGTCCTCTCGTGTGTTAGAACAGTGTTGGAGCACAGATACAGGAGTTGTCTGGCTCCACGGTTCGTCGTCTTATTGTGCAGCTTGAACAGCATGCAAGGGTTTCTCTATACAGGATTCCCCTGTCGCGGAATCACAGACGTCTTCGAATTCAATGGTAACGGCAATCGAGTGTGTGGTGTTCCCTGTGGAACCAAATTGTTTTCTCCGATGAATCTCGCTACAATGTGGAGTGCAATGATGGAAGAGTGTGCTTCAGACGTTTCAGAGGGGGAACGTCTGCTCCCACAGAATGTCATCCAGCTTCATACAGCACAAACGCCTGGCATCGGGGTGTGGGGAGCTATTGGGTATATTTCTAGATCCCATCTAGTGCAGACCGCCAACAACCTCAACAGTGATCGCTACATAAGGGAAGTTGCGGAGAGAGTAGTTCTCCCCAATCTTCGAATCATTCCGGGCCCTGTGTTTCAGTTGGATATTTTCCGTGCACATGCAAATTTTCTTTAGGGCCCCACAGGTTTCACTTCTTCCATGGCCTGCTTATTCCCTGGATATGTCTCCCACTAAGCATGTCTGGAATGTTATTGGTCGGTGACTCCATCGTACAACTGGTGGAACACACGCTAAGACTGCACTTTGGTGTCAAGTCGAAGCCATATGGAATGACATTCCTCAGGATTGCACTTAGAACCTGTATGATTCAATGCCACGACGCGTACTCACATTTCGATTCTACGACTCAAATTATGCCAAACTGCCATGCGGTTGTTGTAAAAGTCGAGTAGATTTTAGAAAATTAGCTCTCAAAATTTTACCTTCTCAATGCTAATTGAATTCGATATTTATTTATATATCTTTTTTTTTTTTTTATTATTATTAAACGTACTTGGTTCCTTCTTCCAGAATTCGAAATTTAGGCTTAATCCAAATATAATTCGCATATATTTATATGATTATTTTTAAAATTAGTATTTTTAAATATTTTTATAAATTTTTCGAAAAAAACATTTGTATTATAACCTATAAAAGTTTTAAAATCATCTTAAAATAGATAAATTTCTAGGCACACATGCAAAAAATTAGAGTATTTTATTCAAAATTTTCTAAGGTACACATGTATTTACATACTAGAGCGTTTTGAAATTTTTCTTTTGAGCGATAATAACGCCAACCGATAATACGCATTTACTCGTAGTTAAACTTATTTGAAAGTATGAACGATGACTTTTTTTCCCGCTCGTCTACAGTGAAAAAAAGGAAAGGAAAATACGTTGCTATCAATTCAGAAGTTCGCCAAGTAAATTATTCTTGGCGAAAACTGAAAAAAATACGCGAAGATAAATTTCTGAATTTCACCGTAAATTCCGCACCAGATTTTACGAAATTTAATATTTAGGTATAATTTGAGTCGTAGAATCGAAATATGAAAAAAAAATTGGCATGTCATTTCAGAAAAAGTCTGATTTTGTGTCAAAATACCTGTGTTAGAATAATGACGCAATATATTCATCTAATATATATCCTAAGTCGCGCTTTCGAGACATAAAAAACGCAATTTGAATTCCCTCAATTGACCCAGTACAACGGAAGATATAGAATTGTCGCTTTTTTTCCCGCAGTGTACATGACTCATGTAACTTGTATGCTTATATTAGGTTTATGTATCCTTTCCTTGCTGCTTTTTGCATATTGGCATTTCTTTTGAAATCTTTTGGCCTTTCCCAACGAATGTATTTAGTATCCGACCATTCGAAACAACATATTTCGAGCAAATAAATAATATTCACACATTCAAAACACTAAAAAATAATTTCTGATTTCATATTCATTTTTTAAAAGAAATAAAAGATGACTCATTAACAAAAGTAAAAGACGGATTTAAAATTTTATTTTTCGCATGCCTGTTTTTAGAGTGAATAATAATTTTACTAATGTTTATAAAAATCAACAATTACATTCATTTCCTGTTATATCATATATATATTAAAAATCAAATAAGGGTAAAAGTTATTAATTTTCGATATTAATTTTTAAATCTCTCAGTAATTAATATGCATCATGCACAAGAATAATAGAAAGCCTATATTACACATTTTTTTTTCCGGTGTTAAAATTGTTTTTCTAAAAGTTTTGCCGAGCTCCTAAACTGTGCATGCGTATTGTTGATTTGGTTTATCTGATTATGGCAAAGCACTCGAGGGCTATCTTCCAAAGTAGATACCTTCGTGGAAGGCTTTCTAAAGAAAATTGGCTCGTATACATGTTACACATGGCAAAAGCCACGAAAATGCCCATGAACCAGCCCTTTCGCATTAATTCGAACTCCAAACCGAAATACCAGTGTTCAGTGACTTTTACCGCTGGGCTGCTCGTGGGCTCATGTTTTTGGTCTATCAGCTAAAATGTCCGTTAGTCCAAAGGGCGTTAGCTTAAAAGGGCTGTTAATTTCGTTTTGGCATTTTATAGCGTTTCACTTTTCAAATTGTTGCCACGAAGTATTATCGGCCAGTATTAAAGAAATTAAATAATGAAAAATCTGCATAATCGTATGTATGTTTCTCGCATAGTGATAAAACAACAGCACCTAGAGCTATCCAATTTTGAATAACGTACTTCTCCACCCGAATATGGGCCTACCAGCGGCCGAGCGGTAAAGTCGCTGAACACCGATAGTTCGGTCCGAGGTTCGAATCAAGTGAACGGGCTGGCTGCATGGGTGTTTCCCTGGTTTTCCCCATGTCTAACGTGTATACGAGCCAGTTTCCCTTAGAAAATCTTCCACGAAAGGCATTCCTTCTCTTAGGCAGATAGCCCTTGACGCTTTGCTGTAATTAAATAACTTAACCACCCGAATATGGGCATCAAATGAACAAATTTGGAATTTGGTTTATTATCTATTTTATATCTTATAAAGCATTTATGGATTGGATTGAATTGGTTTATTTAATTTTGGCAAAGCACACGAGGGCTATCTGCCTAAAGGGAGGGATGCGATCGTGGAGGACTTTCTAAGGGAAACTGGCTAGTATACACGTTACACATGGGAAAACCACGAAAACACCCATGCAGCCAGCCCGTTCGCGAGATTCGAACCTCGGACCGAACAACCAGTGTTCAGCGTCTTTACCGCTCGGCCGCTGGTGGACCCATAAAGCATTTATGAGTTTTTGATTAAGAAACTAAACGATTTCAAAGCGAACAATTGGAATACTGTATGGAAACAAAAACATTTTTATCTCCAGCGCGCGAGATTGTGTATCTGAAATTCTTAAAGACATATTTCTTTTTAAATTATTTTGCGATATTGCTGTTGAATTGAATTTTATGGCTTAAATGCAAAGAACATGACATTTAATAAATAGAGATAACACAAAAAACGTTAAAAAAAAGCCCCTTTGGATGCAATATAAAATCTGAAATATTCAGATTTTTTAAAAAATTTTAATTGTAAATTTTTTTATTGTAATATTTAAATTTTGAGGGAAGAAAAGGGTAAGTATTTATCTTAATGATGCAAAACATCTAACCAAAAAGAAATCTTGAATTAGAATTTAAACTATGCAGAATATCTATATTCAGACCTCCTGTGTAGTTTAAAATATTTATTTATCATTTGTGGGTTTAAAATTAGTTGTTACTTGACACTAGTAGTTGCTGACATATTTTGCCAGCTCTACTCCTAGTTTGCATTAATATAGTTAATATATTATATTATGAAGTTCCAGCAAAATGAGATGAACTTTTCGTAAAAATTCGAAAGAGTTCAAGCCAAAATTGCAGCAGCGTTCTCAATAATTCCTTTCTACGTAACGGTACAGGTTTTTTGGGGACGGATACTGTCATCACACGGACGGGTAAGGGTCATCACATCATGTGATCAAAAGATCACGGAGAAAGATCGAGAGATTGTCGGCATGAGCGCCCTCTACGATCCACTAACTATAAACACTCATCGTGAACTGGAATTTCAGGATTCATTCACGAGAGCATCGCAGAGAGAGATATTCTCAGCCTTTATCTAAGCGAGTTTTTTTCGCTGTTTGCCAGCGACAATGCGCTTTTTGAGTTTAGCGACAGTTTGTTCCGCTCTACTCGTTGCCCTCATCGCACGGGGGTGCGCTCAAACTTCGAACAGGCAAAAGAGATTCCTAAGTCAAGATTTCTGGAATCCCCTTTCTGATAGGTGAGTAAGTTAACACTTAAGTCTTCAAACATTTAAATGGTAAGTTTGCACGCTTTCATTAATTTTTAGTGTAACACTATTTGCAATTCATGGTTCAGTTATTTATATTTATGAACGTGCACAGCTCGAAGAGTCAGTCGTGTCGGCGTTTGAAATTTTATTATTTATTACTGAATTTTTAAAAAAAAAAAAAGTTTAAAAAGGTTCAAAGGCTCAAAGGGGTTTTTTCAACGTTTTGTGTGTTACCTTTATTGATTAAATATCATGTTCTTTGCACTTAAACCATAAAATTCAGTTCAACGGCCATATCGCAAAATCATTTAAAAAGAGCATACCTTTTTACTCCCGTAGTATTAATACTCCCGTAATATTCCACATACGTAACTACATCATATGCAAAAAACCGATTTCAAATATTCTAATTTTTAAAGAAGTTACAAGCATTTAAAATATGTAAACAACCTAAACTTTGCCCTTTAAATTTTGGAGAAAATGTAAAAAATTGTGGCTCTAGTGTAGAATTGGGTGCCCCTTCGATTAGCGACAATTTTTTGTAAAATTTTGGCGATGAAATCTCATTTCTGGTTACCATGATAGTTTAACTTTGCTTTAACCTCCTGATTTTTTTAAATAAAAATAGATTGATGTCTACATGGTCAAATTTAAAAGCAGTGCGCAATGCCTAGTTTGTGCAAATCTGGGATTTTTTTTTTTAAGTGAAAACAGATCGATGTGTACATGGACACAGAGTTTATGCAATTCTTTGACTTCTTATTTTGGTTTTGTGTAGCGGCCATCTTGAAATTGTGTCTTCCTGGCGCCGATCTTGGTGTCAAAAAAGAATCGCCAAAAAACAAGGGGCACCCAATTGTAAATCTTTACCAAAATTGCATTTCAACAATTATTTACTGATGTATAATTTGCATATTTGACCAAAAGAAAATTTCCGATACACAGTCTCGCGCGTTGAATATAAAAAGGGTTTTTTTTTTTCCCTTACAGTGTTGCCATTGCTCGCTTTGAAATCGCTGAGTTTCTTAATCAAAATTTCATAAATGTTTTGCAAAATATGAAACAGATAATAAAACAAATTCCAAATTCAGGCTTCCAGATGCTCATATTCTTGTGGCAACGAACGTCATTCAAAATTGGATGGCTCTAGGTATTATCAGAATGCGAGAATCATACATACATTTATGCATATTCTTCATTATTTAATTTCTTTAAGTATAATGCAGGGATCTAATATTTGGTGGCAACAGTTTGAAAAGTGAAACGCCACAAAATTAATACGAAATTAATAGCCCTTCTGGGCTAATAATCTCTTTCAAGAGAAAAATGGTTATTCCAATGTATGGTATTATTTTTATCACCTTTTCTTGGAATATGTAACTCCAGGAATAAAAGTTCCTTTTGTCTTCCCCCCCTTTTACCCCACGTGTTTAGATTCTGCCAGGTTTAAACAGTTGTAACTATCTCGACAGTGCGTTCTCTCGCTGGCGACACTTTAAAACTTACATGCCGTCAAATTCTTGATCCAGCTCATAATAGCTTAGCATTTAATGGTGTAGTCTTAGACTATTGATCAACGTTTAAATTTATTTGACTGTTATTATTTATTTGCGTCACCACAAGCTGTGATTTGTAGCATAAAGTCGTGCCCTTATGTTCAAAGCTCTGTTTAAATGGTTTGGCATATTATGCCAAAGAACACTACTGCTATCTGCCTAAGGAAAGGGATGCCTTCGTGAAAGACTTTCTATAGAAAAGTAGCTCATGTGCATTCGCCTGAAATCAAACCCAGGTCGAAATTACCAGTGTTCAGCGATTTCACCGACGGTGGGCCATTCTTTATAAATAAAAAGGTTGTTTCAAAACCTTTTAAGAATTTGTCGTTCTGTCTGAGGCATAGCGATAACTTGTCACGTGTCTGTTAGGGTTGTAGGAGTAAAGTAGCAGTATTAGATCAAGTATAAACTTGTAACTTTAAACACGGAAATTATAAATTTTTAGAAGCTAAGAGTTTTCATGGAGGAAAAAATCGCTTCTCACATACACGCAGGCAAACATACATCACTGTAAAAAGAAAAGTTTTTTGGAGACCCAAATTCATGCTTATTCACTAAAAACTCACTATTAAATTTTTGGACGGAAAACATTGCCTTCCTTACCTATGTATTTGGAAAATATTTCGGACATACACCAAGAGACTATGTGAATGTTGACATTCACCGCTGAAAGTCGACATTCTCCAGATTTCGGTGTTTCACCGTAACATATATATAAAATTTCTTGTTGAAAATACAAAAACTTAAAAAACAAATTTTTAAAGTCCACCGTCACCTTAAGATATCCTTATTTAATTAAGGTTTGTTAATTAACTTCTTGGTATATCCTTATTTAATTAACTTCAAATAATTTAAAATATTATTATTATGATTAATTTTTAATGTAGTAACGAAATAATTATAGACGATTAAACTTTTCAAAAAAAAGTGTTGCCAATTAAAAAATTAAATTATTAGCTCAAAGGACGTTAGCCTATAAGGGCTGTTCATTTCAAAACGAAAGTTTACGTCGATTCACTTTTCAGACTGTTACCACCAAATTTTATCGCCATGTATTATATTTAAAGAAACTAAATAATAAAGAACATGCATGAATGTGCCCTGCACTGTGAAAAAATAACGGTACCTAGAGCCATCAAATTTTGAATAACGTAATTCTTCACTGAATAGGGGCATCTGAAGCACTATTTGGAATTTTTTTTATTAACTATTTCAAATTTTGTAAAACTTTAACAAATTTTTGATTAACAAACTAAACGATTTCAAAGTGAGTAAATAAAAATATCTCCAGCGCGTGAGACTGTGTATCGAAAATTCTAAAGATTTGCTATTTTTAAATATTTTGTGATATTGCTGTTGAATTGAATTGTATGTGGTTTAAGTGAGAAGAACATGATATTTAATAAATAAAGGTTTAAAACGTTAAAATAAAGTCCTTTAAATAAACTCTTTTTTTTTTTAATGTATTATTACAGTCCATTCCAGAATCTCATCTACCTCAGAAAACTGTGACATTTCACGTCGCTACAGAATTTAAGGTACGCTAGAAGTTTTTATATCCGGATAACAGTTAAAGTTAGAAGCATATGCAGATTTTTCACGCATTAACAGTTTTAAAGTTAAATCTGACCCTAATCTGATAAAAGCACTTCTAAATATAGAAAAGCGACGTATAAACATAGAAAATGCGTGTGATTTATGCATGTAGTTTAGTTTATTTAAAGAGCCTAATATGCTGCAATTCATTATCACTTGAATATCTCAGGGACATTTTTGGTAAAAATTAGATTGAAGATTTGGAAAATATTCTTTCTGAACTTTTCCTAAACTACGTTATTCATAGTTCTTTCATTTGATTTCAGATTAATCCGTGCCTAAAAAAATACGTTTAGCTATACCAGAATTGCTTTATCGCAAACACAGGTTGTGGTAAGAATGCTGCGAGGATTATTCGTATAATCGTTTCCGCATCTGTTAATTGCGACAAATAATTTATTCTTTAACCTACAAAGAAAGATTTTACTCCAGTAATGACAGATGTGTTATTACTGGAATCACAGAGAATCCGTTTACGGTTTATTGCGATCTATCAAGTTATTCTTAAATTAATAATTATTCTTCAATCATTGCGAACCTAAAGGAATATTCTTGATATATTCTAAATATAACTTCATCAATAAGCATATTAATGGAGTTGTGCCTCGTTAGAGTAATAAGAAACGAGAGATGCGTTTATTAGTGATAACGTTTAATTGCAAAGAATAATAAAATAGAAATTATATTTAAAAAAAAATCTGAAAGCTTTCAGAGTTTATATTACGTCCAATGGGTTTTTTTTTTTTTTCAACGTTTTGTGTTTTATTTTTATATATTAAATACCATGTTCTTCGACCTTAAACTATAAAATTCAGTTCAACAGCAATATCACAAATCATATAAAAGAGCATGTCTTTAGAATTTCCGATGCAGTCTCGAGGTTGGGGATAAAAATGTCCCCCCCCCCTCTATACCATGGAGGTAAGAAAGGAACGAGTGGCCAACCGGCACTAGAAGTGAAGCACTGCTTCGAAGCTTCGGTCACCAGATGGGGTGTTTTTTGTTTACATTCAGAAGCTCGCTTGACAGTGTTCTGATAGTATTTCGACAGACGACAGTTCCATACAAATCGAAAAAGAGCACTTTCGCATGAAAGAAACATTCATAGTGTGATGGATAATAACAATTTGTATACTTTAGTGACATTTACGCAAAAATCACATCTTGGTTATTTTTCGATAACTAACAGCGATTTTGATTATGAATTTGTTTTATGAAATTCTAAGCTGTTGAACTTCAAAAATATAGATTTTAACAAAAATGTTATGCTTAAAGAATGAAAAAGACCTTATGGTACCTTTAAAATTGTATACGTCTTTCGATACCCTCGATAGAGTATTCGCTACTTTTATTTTATGTTCCAAACGCCAAAATGTTTTAAATGAAATAATTTTTTTCACATAGTCGGGATTTTGACCCTGTCGGGATTTCGACCGTGTCGGGACTTTGGGTTGTCGGGATTTCGGCCCTGTCGGGGTTTTGGACAGTCGGGATTCTGGCTTGTCGGGATTTCGGCTGTCGGGATTATGACCCAGACCCCTTTTTTATATGTATAGATTACGCATAAGAAAAATTATGAGTAAAAAATATTTTAAAAGATATAATCGGTATTTAAATTGTACTTATTGCACAATGCATTGAATACTATCGATTGCATTAATTTTTTTATGGAATCTGGGAATTTAGAATTTTCGATGCCATAAGAAATCCGCAGTGCCCTCGCCTGGATTCGAACTTCGGACCTCCAGATTGCGCATCCTACGTGCTAGCCAATCACTGCACAAAGGCACGCAGAAAGGGGTAATTAAATGAAAGAAACTGAGAGAACTGAGAAAC